GAGGCGTCAGTGAGCGGGTCCTGTTCAGCGGTGGCCTGCGCCCTGGCATTAGGAGCAAATCCTGGAGCCTGGAGAGGCTGGGAGTGGTAGGGAACAAAGCCAGGGAGTCACAGCCCACCCGACACCTGGACCCTAGCAACTGCGCTATTTCCTGGCGCCCTAGGAGGGAACTGACTGCAGGAGCAATGGGTGGATGCAGCCAATAAGGGGCCCAGCTGGAACAGGACTTGCCTGGAGCCACACCCCCCATGTTCCAGGGCCTATGGCAAACCGGGGCCAGGCCGCGCCCGGGAATGGGACTGATTCCCGGTCTGGCTCTGCTGCAGGGAGCTCCCTTCCGCTTGGCTCCGGGTGCCCCCAGACTGGCAGCAGCCCAGGCAGACAGGAGCTGCCTGCTGAGCCACACCCCCCGCGCTCGGTGTGGAGGAGGCACTGACATTTACACCGGGAACATTTCCAGGGCGTAGGCTGCCCAGCAGCTCAGCCTGGGAGCACACCAGGGAGAAGAGGCCCAGTCTGGGCTACTGCGCACGGCTCCTCAGACTGGAGAGCCAGCTCCAGGGCAGCCCCCTCCTCCTCCGACAGGCTGGGGCTCCTGCAGACACAGGCGGGCTAGCAGTTGCCAGGTGGACACACACGTGTGCTCATGCACACATGCGCGCGCGCGCATGCTCACACACACGTGTACTCATGCACACACACACGCTCACACACACACACGTGTACTCATGCACACACGCACGCTCACACACACACACATGTACTCATGCACACACACGTGTACTCATGCGCACACGCACACTCACACGCACGTGTACTCATACACACATGCTCACACACTCGCGTGTGGTGATTGCCATAGACTTGTCTGTCTAAGCAAACCAGCTAGTCACAGGCGAGACCAGGTCATCCGCACACACAGACCTGCCCACAAGTAACCTGCGCCGGCCTCAGGTGGCACCGATTCTCTCCGAACCCCAGGGCCCTGCTCCCTGCACTGCTCCAAGGGAACCTGGTCCCAGTCTGACCCCGGAGCCTGGCTTGCTCCAGCCCCGGTGGACCCGGCCCTGCTTTGTGTGAGGGACCCGGGCCAGGCAATCAGGGATCCCCGTTGTACCACGAGGCCATCAGCAGCTCCCCAGGGCCACTCGTCTGGGCTCCGTGTTGTTATCCAGGAGAGGGAATCGTGGGGTCTCAGCAATGTGCCGGGGGCCAAGAGGCCTGTGGCCCACTGACCGGCCCTAAACTAGAGGCTCCTGAAAGCCCCGAGGCCCTACTCAGGGCCACAAATTGCAGGGGACACAGAATCAAGTTGCAGCCAACTCCCAGTAGGACTGTGTCATAGGGCACCAAGGGGGCACTGCCCAGCGGGAGGGCGGGGGTATGTCTCCGACTCTTCCAATTGCCCCATTCCCACCGGCCTGCAGGCGATAAGGCAGGAAACCAAATGGCGAAAGGAAGTGCCAGGGCTCGGGAAGGGCAGGTTTTTAATCTCCAGCTGGTGAACCAAGGAGCGTGTTTGCAAAGGGGGCTGGAAAACATTTGGGGGAAGCCAGTAAAGGAGGCCCCCAGCCTCCAGTGTCACATGGCGGGGGAGCCTGCCCCAGGCGCCACAGCCCCATAAACATGCGGCACAAGAAACCCGCTGCCCTGGCACGACAGCCCATCTGGAAACACAAGGCAGGGCCTGGCGAGGGGCCCCCTTCCTGCCCCTGTGCCACGAGCCCGGGCCCAGCCACCTTTGCTTGCTGCGGTGCGAGGGGAGGGTGTTTCTCTAGAGCACGTGGGCCTATCCAGCGTGGGCCATGCCCCTGCCCTCTGGAGGGCACTGGAGCTGCTCTGCAAGCTGCCCCCTCCGTGGTGCCGGGGCGGCTGGGACGAGGCAGAGCCTTTCCCTGCAGGGGCTTTGCACTTGTCCAGCTGCAGCGAGCTGCCCTTGAGACCCCAGCGGGGGGTTGTGTGGGCCTGAGACCCAGAGGCCATGGGGCGCTCTCCTCCTGCAGGCCTGGCACGGGCAGCCTAGCGCGGTTGCCTCGTTTGAGCAGGCCCGGTGCAAACCCTGGGCATTCTGCCAGAGAGGCCGGGGCTCAGAGGGAGCCGTTCGGAGCTGGTTCTCCGGAGCGTCTCCAAACCGTTGGGCCGGGCAGTCCAGCAGGCCGGGGGCTGGCTCGCCTGGGGCGAGGTCAGGTGGGCTCAGAGTTTCCAGCCCGGCCTGGTTCATCTCTCGTGCCCCCCAGGAGCCCTGTGGCTCTCAGGCCTGCATCTTGCTGTCCTTGCTCCTCCACACCACCAGAGTGACCAGGAAAGGGATGAGGCAGATGGGAGCAAAGATGAGGGCCAGGAGCAGGTCCTCCGGCGGGTCGAGGAACACGGGGTGCTCCTGGGTGCAGTTCAGGAAGTAGGTGTGGTGGCTCAGCACGATGAACTTGTCGGCGACGCCGTTGGGGTAGCCGTCGCTGTAGTTCAGCTTGTCCGCCAAGGTCTCCAGGCAGTCACGGAGGTTGCTGTATGGCCTGGGGTGGGGGACAAGCCGGAGAACGGCTTCAGGACTAAGCCATTATCCGGGGCTGGTGCAGCCAGACCCACCGCTGAGGAGCCGGTCGGCTTGCCGTGCCAGGAGGCTCCCGTTCCGCAGCGCAGGCTGCTTTGCCCTGCCAGAGTGGCAGCAGGCAGCATGGACGGGGGGAAACGGGGAGCCCAGGTGCAGGCACCAGGAAACTGTGTGAGCAGGAGATTCCCTGACTGGCCTGTCAGGTCGTATTACCAGGGCTGCCCGAGCTGGGCAGGTTCATGATCATTCTACTAGAGCCTGGCTCTTCTCACCCCCGAGCTCCAAAACAGGAGCAGCCCCATTAGTGACGGGGAAACTGAGGAACGGGGCAGGACGTGGCTTGCCCAAGGCTGTGTCGCCAAGCCCTGGAACAGCTGGGCTTGAACCCAGGACCCTGAGTCCTCGTGTGGTGTCCTGCCCACTGGGCCCACCCCAGCCCTGCTCAGAAGCCACAGGCCGCAAAGCCAGGCACACACCTTGGCGCTGCAGCGTGGGAGGGTGCCTGGGGCTGGAGAGAGCTGGGGGACAACAGTGGGCAGGGAATATGTGAGTGCCGCACGTTTCAGTCATGCCTGGCTCCCCACCGGCCCTGCGGAAGCCAGGTGTGGGTGGAGCAATGCAGCAGGGCAGGTGGAGGACCCGCAGGTCCCTGGGGGTGCAGGGCAAATATGTCTGTTCTGAGCTCCACTGGGGGCAGCAACACGCAGAATCTCTGCCCACCCGACAAAGTTCTGGAAAGGGCAGCAACCCCGCTTAACAGTTTGGAACAGCGGCTATAGGAGAGATTTTTTTCTTGTCCTCCCAGCGCCCCGCAGGAAACGATCTCCGTGCTCTGCCCAGCCACAGACCGGCGCCAGGCTCCGCAGGGCCCCGGGGCAGACCCCTGCGCACTTGGCCCCCTGCCCCTCTGCCAGGCTGGCCGTGGCTCTCTGCCGCTCACAGGCTGGCACCCGGCAGAAAGGGCTCTGCCAGGAGGGAGCCAAAGAGCAAACTCCACAGAGGGGCTTCATGCCCAGGGCTGGTTCATCTCCCGTCCCCCTGATACCTGCTGATGACTCTCCATTCGCACAGCTGCGCCCCGGGCACGCCCAGCATCCACTCTCTGAACTCCTCCCAACACCAGCTGGTGATGCTTTTGTAAATTTCATCTGGAAAGAAGAAAACCAAAGCTCTGAGTAAGAAGCTGGTGGCAGCAAGCGCAGGCCTGGGAGCCCACCTGAGCACAGGGCCCACCCCTTGGGACCGGCACTGCCAGGGACAGAACTGGCAAGGCTGGTCTCTGATTCACACAGGATCCCCCCAGCCCGAGCCTGGAATCCCCTGCCCGGACATCCCTCCCCATTGCTCCCACACCAGCTCCCAACAGGGGTGGCCCTGGGGTGACATTGGCAGGCCAGGTGCCGGCTCTTGCCATGGCTCCACTGACAAATACGCAGCGGGGCTCAGGCGGGCTGCCCGGGGTGCTCCTGGTGTGATAGCAGGTAGCAGAGCTACAAGAAGGAGGTTTGTGTTGGTTGGATGCTTGTGAGCGGCTGCCGGCCCAGAGCACCTGTCCCATGGCTGTCAGGGAATAGCTGAGCGGCTGGGAGGGCAGCCTCTCTGACTGTGTAAACCCCCAGCCAGGAGAGAGCCCTTAGCTAGCATGAAGCACTGACCCGTAGGGTAGCCAGATACTTTCACAAAAAATCCCGAACATGACGGAGGGGGAGGGGGCGGAGGAAATTGGTTGGAAAAAAATCTGACCAAACTTGTTGAGCAAAAAAAAAAAGTCACTGGACCTTTAAATTCCCCCATCCATACGGCCAGGGTAGGCGGTGCAGCATGGCGCTTGGCAAAGCCCATGCCCGAGGGACTGGCTGGATGGCCCAGGGAAGGGGGACTGGGAAGGAAGCCTGTAAGAGCGGGAGGGGTGCATCCGGGAACGCTGGCATTCCCAGGGTGTGTGACGTGCCCATCCCTGCCAGGCACAAGGCACCCGTTTCCCCTGGAAGGGTCCCTCCCTGGGGTGCCCAGGGCTGCTGGGTGCAGGTGGGGCAGGACACACAAGCCACAGAAACGACATGGGTCAGACGGTGCCTGGGAGCAGAGCCCGCCAGCGCTGACGGAGCAGTGAGATGCCCAGGGCTCATTCACTGTCAAAGGGAGCCGGGAGCCGGGAGCCGGGCAGAAGCTCCCTGGAGCCCGGCGTGGTCCCAGCACAGTGAGCCTGGCAGGGCCCTGCCACTCACCCCGTGTCATGTTGAAGAACTGGCTCTCGTTGTGCAGCAGCTTCAACTCGGCCACGATCTGCTTCCCCCAGAGCTCAGCCATGGACCTCAGTCCCAGCACGGGAGGGAGGCTCCTGAGAGCCACTGGAGGGGAGAAGCGCCAGTGAGATGTGGCCCACGGGGGTTGCTGCTGCCTGGCCAGGCGCCCTGCCCCGAACTGGGTGGGTGGCAGTGACACCCCTGGGGCCCTTTAACCCGGAATCAGGACAGGGCACAACAGGGGGATTTGCAGACGTGGCCCCTGGTTCTGTTGTCAAGGGCCTGGTTGCCGGACAGAGCTGAGCTGTGGGCACTGCTTGTCACCCCTCGGGGCTTGCGCCCTGCCCTGCTCCCTTGGCTGTTTGGGGTGGGCAGCAGAGACAACCGGCTTCTAGAGGAGAGGCCAGGGGAGGGGAGCGCCGCCACAGGGGTGAATTCTGGAGGCTAGAGGCATCGCTCAGCCCAGCGGGCCCCGGAGCCTGCCAGAGGCCTCCTGGCTCTGGGCCTCCCTCGGAGCCAGCCAGGGCAGCCAGGCCAGAGAGCAGGAAGGAACAACTTGAGCTCTCCCCTGAGCACCCGCCACGTGCCCGCAGCCCACGGGGTGGCTGCAGCAGGATGGGAGTGGGAGCCGAAAGGGGAAATGAAGAGGGTGTGGGCTCAGCCCAGCGGGCCCCGGAGCCTGCCAGAGGCCTCCTGGCTCTGGGCCTCCCTCGGAGCCAGCCAGGGCAGCCAGGCCAGAGAGCAGGAAGGAACAACTTGAGCTCTCCCCTGAGCACCCGCCACGTGCCCGCAGCCCACGGGGTGGCTGCAGCAGGATGGGAGTGGGAGCCGAAAGGGGAAATGAAGAGGGTGTGGGCTGAAGCCAGAGGCACTCCAGCCACCCATGGCGCCTCCCACCAGCACGTCCCCTCTTTGCACGTGGATTCGCCCAGCTCCCCAGGTGGGGTCCCCCCACCTCCCTGCAGGGGGCTCAGCGGCCCTGCTGTGAGATGCCCGGGGCTCGTTCACTGACAAAGGGAGACGGGTACCGGGCAGACTTGCTAGCCCGTGGCAGGGGAGGGCTCCCTGGAGCCCGGCCCGGCGAGCTCAGCTCTCGCTGCCCCGCCCATGGCAGGGCCCACCACTCACTCCTAGTCATGTTCAAGGCCAGACTCCAGTTGTGCAGCAGCTCAGACCCATTCTCTGGGCTTTTCCACATCTCGGCCATAGACTCCAATTCAGGCACAGAAGTGCCGGCGGGAGGGAGGGAGCGCCCGAGAGTCGCTGGAGGGGAGAAACGCCAGTGAGATGCGCCCCACAGGGGATGCTGCTACCCAGCCAGGCACCCTGCCCCGAACTGGGGTCTCGTGGGTGGCAGTGACACCCCTGGGGCCCTTTAACCCGGAATCAGGATGGGGCACCAGGGGGGGGATTTAGACTGAGATTCGCAGACGTGGCCAGGGGTCCCTGTAAGCTGAGTGCTTGGGCGGCCACCCAGGAGAGATTTAAATGCCACCCAGCTGATTAGCACAGTGTGCACAGCCCGTAGCATGTACTTCTATGGGAGGTGCACACCCACACATGCGCCAGTGCACACCACAAAATTTATTCCACACACGAAAATGAGAGGGAACATTGGACTCCAGGTGGTCAGACAGCGCTGGATCCCTGGCAGAATGTGGGCACCGCCGGTGCAGTGTGTGCCCAGCACCTCTGCGAGCTGCCCACGGGGACACATGTCCTGCTCAGCTCCCCCAGCTGTTTGGGGCGGGCAGCAGAGTCAGCTGGTCGGGGCAACTTCTAGAGGAGAGACCAGAGGAGGGGAGTGCCGCCACAGGGGTGAATTCTGGGGGCTAGAGGTAGGGCTGGAGCCAGCACCCCCACCAGCGACGGCGGCTCCATCGCTCAGCCCAGCGGGCCCCGGAGCCTGCCAGGGGCCTCCTGGCTCAGGGCCTCACCCGTGAGCAGCCAGGCCCTGACCCCTCCATTTCCCCGATGGCTCCCCCACTGGAGCAGGGACAAGGAGCTGAGTTTGTGTGTGTTTGTGTCCTGACTCAGGGTACGTCTACACTACAGCGCTAGTTCGAACTAAGCGCTCCGCTAGTTCGATTCAAATTCGAACTAGCGGAGCGCTTAGTTCGAACTAGGAAAACCTCATTTTACGAGGACTAACGCCTAGTTCGAACTAGCTAGTTCGAACTAGTAAGTCCACATTGAGTGGACTCTGAACAGGGCTTAATGATGGCCGGAAGCAGTGCCGGCAGGGCATAAAAGGAGGACTTAGAGCGTGGAGCTGCTGTCTCAGGCTAGCCGAGGGCTGCGCTTAAAGGGTCCCGACCCCCACCCCGGACACACAGTTCTAAGGGGTGCCCCGCTTGCAAAGAAGTTCTGGCTTGGAGTGCCCTGAGTGCCCACACTGGGCACATCACACCACTCGGCCATCAGCCCGGCTGCACTTGCCGCAGGCTGCCATCTGGGGAGAGGGAGTAATGGGGGGGCGGCAGGAGAGCTTCCACCCCCAGAAGCCCGCAGAGCCACCCCAGTCCTCCCCATCGGGGGCTCGTGCCCCATTCCTCCCTCACCTTCTTCCACTTGCCCTTCCCTAGCCCCCCTTCTTATTGATGTACAAAATAAAGCTAATGTTTCTTCCAACATTGACTCTGTCTTTATTGAAAAAAACTGGGGGAGACTGGGAAAAGGAGGTGGGAGAGGGGAAGAGAAAGGCTGGGAGAGGGGAGGGCAACTAACATGATCAGGGGTTGGGAACAGGTCCCAGATGAAGAGAGGCTACAGAGGCTGGGACTGTTCAGCTTAGAAAAGAGGAGACGGAGGGGGGACAGGATAGAGGTCTCTAAAAGCAGGGGTTGGGTGGAGAGGGTGCATTCAGAAAAGTTCTTCATGAGTGCCCATAAAGAAGGACTAGAGGACACCAAAGGAAAGGACTGGGTAGCAGGCTTCAAACTAGTAAGAGAAAGTTGTTCTTCTTCCCAAAGCAAATAGTTAACCTGTGGAACTCCTTGCTGCAGGAGGCTGTGAAGGCTAGAACTAGAACAGAGTTTAAAGGGAAGTGAGATCAAGTGATGGAGGTTGGGTCCATGGAGTCCTATTAGCCAGAGGGTAGGAGTGGTGTCCCTGCCCAAAGTTTGTGGAAGGCTGGAGAGGGATGGCACGAGACAAATGGCTTGGTCATTGTCTTCGGGCCATCCCCTCCAGGGTCCCTAGGGTTGGCCGCTGTTGGCAGAGAGGCTACCGGGCTAGATGGACCTTTGGTCTGCCCCAGGACGGCCATTGTAAGCTCAGGGCTCAGGGTCGGGGGTCTCACTGGACCCCCTTGATTCTCTTGCACACCTGCTCCTGGGTGGCCAGGCTGGCAGCTCTCCTGCCCTAGACGGCCACTTTCCTGTGCCTAGTGCGGAGATCGTGGACGAGGTCCACGATGTCCGCACTAGCCCAGGAAGGTGCCCGCCTCTTGCGGTCCAGGGCAAGCTCCCGGGAGCCGCCAGCCTGGTCCCGGCAAGAGGGGGTGGGCTGGGAGGCATCGGGTAGGTGGCTCTGTGCCGTGCCAGGGGCAGGGTCTGCTAGCTGGGTGCTGGCAGGCTTGCCCCTGGCACGGGCACCGTAGCCAGCCCGTGCCCCTTTAAGGGGTCCGGGGCCGGGAGGGGGGCATAGAGTTTCCCTGGTGTTGGCCAGAGTGGCCACCAGGGAAACCTGGGGAGGGCTAGCCTCCCACTAGTTCGAACTAAAGGGCTACACAGCCCTTAGTTCGAACTAGGAAAACCTCATTTTACGAGGACTAACGCCTAGTTCGAACTAGCTAGTTCGAACTAACTTTCTAGTGTAGACATACCCTCAGAGGCACCCAGACCTCCTGGGGCCAGGCTGGGTGTGGTGACCCCAGAGAGAACCTGGACTTACCCCAGTTTTTCCCCACAGCGAGATCAGAGTCTGGCCCATCACGGACAGCTGTGGGGGCTCTGACCCATGGCAAGGCCAGGCTAGGGAATGGGGGCTTGGCAGGGCTGGGAGCCGGTCCAGGCTCAGAGAGACTGAGAGCTGGGACTTGATGGGGCTGGTGCATGGCACAGCGGGACCAGTCCTTTGCTGACTCTCCGTCTGCTCCTGCCCTTTGAGGATCTCAGCAGTCAGCAATTTTTGTTCCCATCCGCCTGTCTGCGCACCCTTGGCTAGACGCGGTTCCAACAGCTACAGGCTTCAGTCTGGTTCAGTGACTCTCAGCACCCCCCCTGCAGCTCCTCTCCCACCCCCCCCACC